GAGTTGCGTCATTGACCAGAGAAGACTTCAAACAGTAGACTGATGAAAAATACCATTGGTTGGGCAATGCAAGACACGCCCTGGGAGACAACACTGGTACATTGGACGATAAAAGCACATCTTGGGCTGAATTTCATGCCAGCCGACAGCCACCAGAGGGTAGAGTCATCTGCCCCACGTCGCTGCTTCCACTCTTCCTGGAAAGTGCCCACACTGTGGCAATGATCAGGCATTCAATGAACGTTGTGAAGAAAGCTGTATAACACCTGAATCCTGGACAGACACCAGTGGTCACATTGGATCCGCCACTGTTTGCTTTGGCCAAGCAGATACAGTGGAAGTGGCTAGAGAGTTATGGTGAAGACCATATAGTGGTGATGTTTGGTGGTCTCCACATAGAGATGGCAGTACTGAAAACACTGGGGGGACAGGCTGCAAGGGAGTGGTTGTGTGGCAAGCACTTGTACAAGCCGAGATTGCGACAGCAAGGACAGCAGACTCATTCCTGCGAGCAACTCAAGTCTTGCGCACAAGAAAAGCACATCAAGTGACTGCAGCAGCACTGTACATCCTGCAACACCATGCCTACAACCACTAGTGTCTGGGAGAAACCAGGGGTGGAGAGGACATTCCTGCGTTTGAAGACTGATGACGCCAGAGACGAGACAACATCTCCCAGTTTCGTTACTGGGCAACTGTGCTGGAACATTAACTGTTGGTTCTAGTGTATGTGCGTTCTCTCAGGCAGGGATCATTGATGATGTACCTCGATGCTCTGACAGAGCTGGTCACCTGGTTCCACCCACTAGATCATACCCACTATGTAGGTGGATACCGTTCCACCTGAAGAACATCGCCGAACTCACTACGAAGCACCCAAACCTCAGACGTAGCCAGGAAATTCAGTAAAGCCATTTCACAGTTGAGAAAACACAGAGGGTGTTCTCTTTAATCCCGACTGACTAGGCCTATGAGCAGAATAATGCCTGCATCAAAGGAAACGGTGGCGCGGTTGGGCTAACTGACAATCCTAGTGCCCTTCGTCGCTGGATGGTTTCAAGACCAGAAATTGCTAGGGTGATCGAAGAATTTCCTGGACGGGAACCAATACTAGAGACAGCAAGCAAGCAGCAGACACACGTCATCATGATCAGACGCCAAGTGTACATGCCTCATTTGTGAAAGATGTTCGCTGTCTCGTTGGTATCATAAAGGAGTAAGCAACCCATTCGAGGAGGAGAGTCAGGATCTAGTCATATCGGACACATAGGACATCGCAGGTCCTTCTGCCGTGGAGACCGTGATGAAAGCCAAGAGGATTACCCAAGAGCAGCCCGAGGCTTTCACCAGAGAGTGTCTGTTGGACAGAACAACGGCAGTAGACGACCCCATTCCTCGTGACAAAGCTGAAGGTATTCAGCACTTCCACTCCAAGAAACAAGAGTAAATGTTAGGAACAGTTCGCTTCTGTCAAAAATTACCGTGAACTCGTCGCACGCCTGTACACTGGCTGGCAGACGAGGGGTGGACACCTTGGGGAGTTCTCTCGTCACAAGAACCAGGCATGTCCTCCTGCACTGTCTGCTGGTGGAAACCTCTTCACTTGTACTAAGAATGATCTCATCGCAGGCTTTGAAGAAATCTTTGACACCAAGACAGAGACTCCTGTCACTAGCTGTATAGTTCTTGATGGAGCAGCCATCGCCCAGATTGGCTGCATTAAACTAAAGACATTTGAAGAGTATGCTCCTAAGATCTTCATCCCAAATTAAATAGCAAGAAGACTGCGTGGGCAGTCTGGACGGTACTGCCAGAACTCACTGAGGCGCTGCTGCAGGTGTCCTCTGCACCACGTGACATACCAAACGATGCAATGTCCATCATCAAAAGGTTCGTGATCCTGTTGTATGATCGAACCAGCAAATGCACGGACAATGACACGGCCAGGAGGAAACTCTTCGCAAGGAAGAACGATGTGCAGCGGATCCTTCCAACGTAAGTAGCTTTAGAGGAACATGTCAAGAGGGGAGTGTATTGAGGTGGAAATGTGTGGGGTCAGATACTTTTGCCAGCACCAGAGCTCCCTCCACAAAACAACTAGGGCTGGTCAATGACTGGAGGACAGTACACACCATACTGGACCAGGCTACCCGAGGCAGCTCACAGCTGCAATGAGCTGGTTTCTTGCAAGTGCCATTTATGGTGTGTGAGGCTCTGCAAAAGCAAGAAGACAACCCTCTGTGTGTGTGAAGGGGACTGCACAGGACGATGAGTCCACAACATACATGTACTTGTGACCGTGTTGAACTTTTTAACATGACACTGTTTATGTACATGCATCTCCAGTACCGATATCTACCTAGCCTCAGATACCAGACATTGAAGAATGTCAGTATACACCTAGCCTCAGAAATTAGACCATGTAGCATGCAAGAATTGTACCTACGACATTTACAGACTTAAGACTTTTACACCCATTTAACATGCTTTCAAAATTGAGTCGATAGTGCCGTAAAGAACACTCAATCTATCAATCAACAAGCTTTCATATAATCATTCTTTTCAAAGTATCGTGTTCAATCTATTATTTTCCTAGATCATTTTATAAAACAGAGTGTGAAAGATAACATTACGTTGAAATTGGTGCCATTGGATGTGCATTGAATTGTGCACTGAAATAGAATTTGTGCATTTGAATTTTAGATTTGTGTCTTTGATTTAGATTTGTGCTTTAGAATTGTGCATTAGATTGTGCATTGGATTGTGAAATTGGTATCATAGGTTTCCTTGCCCCCCAAAACATACATTTAGACACCAAAATGAAGTCAATAGCAGCATTTGACCCAGAGATGATTGCAAATGTAGATTTCCAATGGCGGCCATTATGAAATCCAATATGGTGGCCCATTAGTAAAAATACGCTATGCAGATCGTTACCATTGGATTCCTTGCCCCCCAAAACATACATTTAGACACCAAAATGAAGTCAATAGCAGCATTTGACCCAGAGATAATCGTAAATGTAGATTTCAAATGGCGGCCATTTTGAAATCCAATATGGCGGCCATAAAGAGAGAAATCCGAGTGGCCCAATATCTAAAAATGTTTGCAATATATTAACTTACGTCTGTGCCAAATTTGGTGCTTGTATCACAAAATGCACAATCCTTTAAAATTTGTGGGCTAAACCGCCCCACTATAGTTAGATCTGGGCTTATCGTATATAAGAAAAAAAACAATTCGACGGCGCTTTGAATAGCGAAATTTAGAGCTGGGCTTATCGTATATATATTATATTTGTGAAAGTTCGTCACTTTGGTCGTCTAAAACTTCCAAACCACTTAACTTTCCTATTGGAAAAAATTCTACAGTGTTTCAAAAGCATTTAAAGGGTGCACAGTTATATTAAGGAGTCTGAAGTCACTGTAGTTTAATTTTCAGTTTTTCATTAGGTTACGTTTAGATCCAGTCTTTGGAAAGTCCGTCTTCTAAGACGCCATTGTGAACAGGTCAGACTTCCGTTCACATGCAGTGCGCACTGCTCCCACAATGACTTGACGATCGACTCTTATTAAATTCTTATCAGTCTTATTCTTACCACTGAAAAGAAAGAGGGGTTCCTTTGGAGGCTTTCTTAGTTCACTCATAGACACAGTAGTGTTGCATCATCCTTTCTGGTCTTGTTTTCTTCAGTCTTCCACTTCCAGACTAATCAGACGTTTGCTGGTGATGAATGTACTGTACTTGTAGAAAAAGTGTCTAGGGCTGTAAGACGTTAATCCAGAAAGAGACTAGCGATTTCACATGCTTGCACTTTTAAGAGGATCTCTTTGAATCAAAATACACTATTAGATTCTAATAAAACACTTTCCGTAATAAGAGCAGAGACACACCCACTCACATGTTAACAAACTTTGCCAACTCAAACATAGCCGCCAACAAACTCAAAAGTTTCAGTGTCACGGACTCTAGTTTCAAAAGGAGATAACTGTATGAGGCGGCATCACTGAGTCGTGAATGAAAACAAATCCTGAATTCTTATTGTATGTTCAACCGCCAAAATAATGGAAAATACATGTAGCTCATGTATTCCTAATTTGGTCAAAATGTTATTATAACTTTTAAACGTGCTTTGGGAATAATGGTCTCAAGATTTTTTTTACAGTAAATTTAGCTAAAGATGTTAATACACAAGCAAAAATCAAAGGAGCAAAGATGGCAATTTGATTTCAAATGTGGCTGTTTTTGTTTTTTTCTAGCCCTTCGCAGCCAGGAGCCGTTGTCATAATCGAGGTCACCATCTGATTATAGGACGGTAAAAAGTCGGAGAGAAAAAACAAGCACTCACCAGTCATTACACTATAAAGATTTAGTTCCCCTGATCATTGTGAGGTAGACTCGACCAATTTACTTGTTAGCTTACGTAATCAGTGCTGGTGACTGCTTATGAGAGTTGTCTGAAAAGGATGAACATGGTATTTATGCAGCAATGAAACAATTTTGAATAGTATCCCTTTGCCTCTATAGAATGGACTCTGCCAGCTTTATTGTTAAGCTTATGGCTATATAATCAGCGTATTTATGCGGCAATGAAAGTTTTGAATGCTATGCGTACCGTTCTTTGGTGATTATGAAAGTGTATTACAATTAATTAAATTAGTATGCCTGCGTCTATGGGTGAATTCGATTGCGACGTTTTTCCAAAATTGGAAATGGAAGCAGTGATGAATTGATTATGTAGATGATTCGCAACTGCCCACGAACGCACGCGCACACATACACACACACACACACACACTCACACACACACACACACACACACACACACACACACACACACACACACACACAAAGACACACACACACACAAAGACACACACACACACACACACACTCGTGAGCGCGCCCGCGAGCCGCACATACACACACACACACACACGTGCACACGTACACCAAGATCTACACGTTACGCATATGCGTGCGAACAGGTTGGCTGATGAATTGTTTAATCCCCATCCACCCCCACCCCTAATCCCCCTCTTGGTGTGGCGTGCCTCACGGGGAGCTAAACTCTCCTCTTGCGTCCCAGATCTGCGCCATCCTGGCCTTTGCTATGGGCGCCACCGTGCGTTTCGGACTGGAGTCCCTTGTGGAAGAGTACTTTGACCCGTCGGAGAAGAACCTCAAACTGTCCAGTTTGGTGGGCGTGGGTCACGAGTCTATCGTGCCCACAAAGGAAGAGCTGCCTAGTGAGGTAGGTGGGTGGGTGGTGAGGGGGTTGGGGTGGGTGGGTGGTGAAGGGGTTGGGGTGGGTGGGTGGTGAAGGGGTTGGGGTGTGGGTGGTGAAGGGGTTGGGGTGGGCTTTTTTTAAAGTCTTTTGGTTTTGTTTTGTTTTTATTGTGGTGGGGGAGGGGTGAAGTTGAGGGGGTTGTTTTGTTTCGTTTTTTCTTGTTGTTTTTTGTTGGGATTTTTTCTTCTTTTTTTTTGGGGGGGGGGCGCAGATATTGGCTGGGTATTGGCTTGTGGCGGGCTAAAGGTAAGATAGATTGGTACGATATGGAAAGGTTTGTAGGTTGTCATGTATAGCTCTTTCAACTCAAAAACATTATGTTATTTTTTACAGGTAAGTTTTGTCTGTCTGCACCGATTTTTTATGTTATTTTTTTTGCAGGTAACTTTTGCCTGCCGATTTTTTTTATGAAGGGGGTTAAAGGGTGGGGGGGGGGGGTGTTACACTCTAAAAGTCCCGATTCGGCACAACCGAAACTATGGATTTTAAGTTGTAGGCATTTTTAGCTTCTTCAGCATCTCAGATAACTATTTCATCTCATACTTTAATTTTTACTTACTTTTTACTTCCTCTGGCATCCTTAGGATGTCAAGGGGAGGTGCAGGTTTCGGTCCTGTGCCAGGTGTGTAGTGTGTGTGATAGATTTGTTACATTGGTCCTGGACCTTTTTAACCTCATCCAGCGAGTCCTTTCTTGGTCTTCCTCTTGATTTGAAACCGGATTCTCGGGTGTTGTAAGCTCTAGTCGCTTGTTGTTTCTGGGGCATTCTGGTTAGATGTCCAAACCATTTGACTCTTTGACGCTCTATGAATTTTATCACTGGTGGTATTCAAGTTCGTAGACGTAGGGTTTCGTTTCTTATGTGATTTTTTCTGGTGACGTTGGTGGTTTTGCGGAGACACCTCATTTCGCTTGCTTTGATTTTTCTTTTTTGTGCCTTGTTTAGAGACCATGTTTGGCACTGGTATGTTAAGGTTGGTATGAAGAAGCTATTGATGAGCTGGGATTCCTCTTCGGTTTGATTGTTCTTGTGACTTAGCAGGGGTGCTAGCTGGTAGGTCACTGCATTTGTCTTCATAGTTCTTGTTTCTATTTATTTGTCCATACACGCATCTTGGGTGAAGATGCTTCCCAAATATTTAAATTCCTCTACTTGTTGGAGCTGTGTGGCGTCAATAAGGATATTGAGTTTCCCAGGGTTTCTGCTGACCTTCAGAACTTCTGTTTTTGAGATGGAGATTTTCATGTCCATGTGTTTATATTCCTCATTTAGTTTTGAGGTGTATTTTTGTCATTCTTCTTCATCTGTATTTAATATACTCTGGTCATCAGCAAATAAAAGCTCGTTCTGTTCAGTGATGTTGTCATTTGCTTCTTTCGTGATCTTATCCATGTAAGTAATGAAGAGAAGCGGAGAGAGAACAAACCCGTGTCCCTCCCAGACCTGATGGGGAACCAGTCCGATAGTCCTTCTATTGATCTTACGGCACACAGGCTGCTTTTATAAAGTGCCATGATGTTCTCCATCAATTGTCCTGTAACACCATAATCCTCTAAGATTTCCCAAAGTTGACATCTATTTACCCGGTTGAACGCCTGGTCCACGAAGACAAAACATGTATTGAGGTCTTTCTCGTGTCCAATGGCTGTCTCACACAACTGTCTTAATACAAAAATAGCGTCAGTACAACCCTGGCTTTTCTGAAGCCAAAATTGGATTGACTGAATTGCGTCTCTACATTGGTCTCATTCTCATTTCCAGTATCTTGGCAAACGTTTTACCCACATGGCTGAGAAGAGATATTCCTCTGTATGTTCCACAGTCTCTTTTGTTACCTTTCTTTTTCCAAATAGGTACAATGACAGCTCGTTGCCAGTCATCGGGTGTTGTTTTTGTCGCCCAGGCCAGGTAAAATATCCTCCATAGTCAGAGTTCTCCGATATGGCCGCATAGCTTGATCTCTTCTGCTGTGATGTTATCAACGCCTGGCGCTTTGGTTGTGAGACTTTTCTTTTTAACATTTTTGGTTTCACTCTGCAGTTTAATGGTTCTGGGGTGGTTTCTTTCGATGAGAAGCTGTTTGTTGTTGTTTCTCCTTTTAGGATTCTGAATCTCTTGGAAATTGCTATTCCATCTTTCCTTAATCTTTGGCTTACTTAAAATAGGGCTTCCGTTCTCATCATTGGCTATTTCAGTTGGGCTGAATGGTTCTTCCCTCATCCTCATGCTGTTAACGCTCTTGTAAAACACTCCGGGGTCTTCTTTACATTTTGTTACCAAATACTGTCCAGGATCTGTTCTTAGCTTCTTTTACTACCCTTGTTGTTTGGCAGCGTTCCTTTCTGTTTATGGTGTAGTCTTAGGCCATAAAATCCCCCTAAAGACGTATTTCTTCCCATACCAGGCATGTTTGTCGCCATCATTTCCTCATAAAGTCAATATTTTTTTTCTTTATCGCCCGTTTTCTCGAAACGTGGTTTTTCTTTATACTTGTAAAAAATAATTCCACCATTTTTCATCCAATCTTCATGAACTTTTTACTGAATGAAAGGAAGATGTAATACTAAAACGTTTTGTAATGACTTTTTTGCAAACGCAAATTCTACCTCAGGAAAAAAAATCATTAAAAATTTTCTAGTTTGTGTAGAAAAAATTCAACAAACTGATTTGTAGATCTATTGTCAGCTAAGATGCATGCAAACAAAAAAACCTTTATTTCCATGAAAAATAAGTGCCGTATTAATTACGTAAGACATGTCAACAAATCCAATATGGCCGCTGCATCCATGGAAACAAAATTTTGTTTCTAATTCTAAAATGTGATTGCGGATATTAAGACTCTTTACTATGCTTGTTAAAAAACTGCGTTAAATTTGGTAACATTTTATCTACTAATAAGCGAGATAGCCTTCAGGTGTAGCGACCCCCCCCCCCCCCCCCCAATCTCTTGAACTGTTAAAGGTACATTTATGTAAACTTGTATCAGTGTGTCTTCATGATATGTCAAAAAACCGTTCTGTTCCGAGTATTAAGAAGTAAAAGTTTTGTCTTTGCATTTGTCATGAAATGATCTATTGAGTCAAAAAATGGGATGACTAACAGTGTGACTCGTGCCATGTTCTCATACGCTGAGCCTTAAAGGTAAAAGAGGGCGATAATTTTTTCCATTCTTTATTCTGTATGGCTACCTGCTAGTGCACAATTTTTCGGTTTGGGAAATTTTCCAGTTATCTTGTTTCAGAATGAAGCTTTGCTTATTTCAACCTGAGAAAGTAGAAAAAAACCTATAATGAACTGATCCTGAACTTGTCAGTAAATATTTATTATCTTCAACCTCTCGTGAACGCGTCGATTAAAAAAAATAATAAACCGTTCCAAGAAAAAGTACCATTTCACATCTACCTATAATGCTGAAAAAAATAATATTGCTCGAAATTAAGGATGTCTTCTATTATCTATTTGTGGTGGCCGAATTTTGTTATTCAAAAGGCTTTTTAATGGCTGCATCGATCGACATGCGGTTTTCGCCAAAAGATTCTTTAAAATATTTTCCAGAGCATGGCGCCCTTGGTTTTTTCAGTTTTGAGACAGTTTTGCTGCAAAAGCAAAATTTATTTATTTCGCCGATCGCTTTTGTGGGCCGACGCTTCTGCCTCTGTAATTTTAGAAAATCCGGAAGTGATATTTCGCGAGGCGCGTTTTGTTTTGAGGGTACAGATCTAGACCTTATAATTGTTTGCATCTCTCAAGATGTATTGCCCCATTCCGTTTGAGTGTAAATATAGTAGGCCAATTACTTTTAGTTGATATTAAACCCGGCCTAGACGATCAGAGAACGGTTAGTATAAGAACGTATAGGCACCGCCGATCATTCCTTTCATCGGAAGGGGGCCCAGCTAGTAATATATATTATTTAAAATCTCAAGGCTCAAAATAAATGGAGTCAAACGTAATTCACAAAACCTATGTTGCATTTTTGTTTAACGAGCTGTAAATGAGAGGAGGAGGATGAGGAGCATGGGAGGGCCATTCTTGGAGAGGAAAAGAGGAGAGAATGAGGAGGTGGAGAGAAAGAGGCTGAGAACAAATTGGGAGGAAAAAGAGACATAGAAGACAGGAGCTTTGAGGAGAAGAGGCAGTCTAAAAATTGAAGGAGCAGAAGGACAATCACTTTAGACTCAGTTTAAAAAACGTGTATACAGAACACAGTCGCTGGTGACAGGCGTGAACTCACGCACCCTTCTGCCATTAAGTATAACTTCTCACTAGAGTGAGCGAAATCGATCTTATGAGAGGTCAGTTTGGTGGGGGATTGATGGGCGCTTTGATGTGGTTTGCTCCTTTTTTTCCAATCTGCCATCCTTATCTCCCCTCATTTCCTTTGTATGTTACACTTTTAACGGTCGGCACTTATACGACCTATGTGTGTTGCAAGTGCTGTAATACTCGTTCTAAGTTAGAGATTTCAGTATACACACGACGAGCTGGCGGACTAAAAGTGTGAGGCTCGTTTGTTTCTCTTTCTGTTTTTCTGTTTTTCTTTTTTTCTTGAGCAAAGAGAAGCACATGGACATAATTCAATGAAAGGTCATTTCGCAAATGGATAAAAAGCAAGACAGACGGACAGAAACAAATGGACTCGAAGAAAAGGAAAAGAACTGCTAAACATCCAGCTTAACCACCGTGTCAGTTTTAGGCGAGAAAATGAG